GAGGGATTTTTATGGGAAAAAATGGGGAAAATGGGGAAAAGGGAATGGGAGGGAATTTTGGGATAAAAAAAGGGGAAAATGGGGATAAGGTGAGGATTTTTGGGATAAAAATGGAGAAAATGGGGAAAAAGGTGAAAATTTTTGGGGATTTTGGGATAAAAAGGGGGAAAAAGGTGAGGATTTTGGGGATTTTTGGGACTCACCATTGGGATTTTGAGATAAAATGGTGAAAAGATGAGAATTTTTGGGATTTTTGGGATAAAAATGGGGGAAATGGGGAAAAGGGTGAGGATTTTTGGGATTTTGGGATAAAAATGGGGAAAAGGGTGAGGATTTTTGGGATTTTGGGATAAAAATGGGGGAAATGGGGAAAAGGGTGAGGATTTTTGGGATTCACTGTCGGGATTTTGGGATTTTTGGGATAAAAATGGTGAAAAAGATGAGAATTTTTGGGATTTTTGGGATTTTCAGGACTCACCGTCGGGATTTTGGGAATCTGCATCCTTGGGGATGGTGTAGAGGTCGTAGGTGCTGTTCTCCAGGTTGCTGGCTCTCTGGGGGGAAAAATGGGAAAAAAATGGGGAAAAAATGGGATTTTTCCAAAAAAAAAAATGGGAGAATGAGGATTTTGGGGAATTTTTACCCACAAAATCAGGGATTTTGGGGATTTTTCCCTAAAAAATGAGGGATTTTAGGGGTTTCCCCCCCCAAAAAAAAAGGGAAAAAGAGGAAATTTTGCCCAAAAAAGGAGGGATTTTAGGGATTTTGGGATTTGGGGACTTTTGGATTTGGGGATTTTGGGATTTTGGGATTTGGGGATTTGGGGATTTGGGATTTGGGGATTTTGGGATTTGGGGATTTGGGTTTTGGGGATTTGGGGTTTTGGGATTTTGGGGATTTTGAGATTTTGGGATTTGGGATTTTGGGGATTTTGGGATTTGGGATTTTGGGATTTTGGGATTTGGGATTTTGGGCACTCACGGTGCAGAGCAGCACAGAGTTCTCAGCCGGGTTGTAGGACATGTTGAACACCGGGAACTTGGAACCGCTGGAAAAATGGGAAAAAATCAGGAAAAAAAATTGGAAAAAAATCAGGAAAAGGGAAAAAAATTGGGATACATTTGGGATTTTTTGGGGCATAAATTTGGGATTTTTTTTGGTGATAACTTTGGGATTTTTTTGGTGATAACTTTGGGATTTTTTGCGACGTATGTGGGGGGTTAACTTTGGGATTTTTCAGGATAAATCTGTGATTTTTTTGGGATAAATTTGGGATTTTTTGGGAATAACTCCGAGGTACTTGTCAAGATAAATTTGTGATTTTTTTGGGATAAATTTGTGATTTTTTTGGAATAACTTTGTGATTTTTTTGAATAACTTCAGGATTTTTTGGGAATAACTTCAAGATACTTCTCAGGATAAATCTGTGATATTTTTGGGATAAATTTGGGGTGTTTTGGGATGGTTTGTGACCCCCCAGACCTGCGGAGCTGCATCACAGCCACGTCCTTGGAGCTGGAGAAGTCGAGCTGGCGCAGGAACCGATCCTTGACATAGAACAGGAAATTCCCGTGCACGGCGTGGGCCGGGCGCTCCCGCTCCAATTTAAACACCAACATCCCCCCATCGTGACCTGGAATGGGAAAAA